GGCGCCGGCAGATGACGCAATCCTCGCGCAGCGAATTCCGGCATGTGATGCAATATTCGTAACACTATTAAAGTGTTACCCTCTTCAATACAGCGTTTGCCTTTGTTCCATTTTGTTAGTTGAAGGGCAAGCCGTTTTATTAAATAGATAATTAATGTTTGTAAGAAAATATTTTAAAAAATAGTCATTTGCTTCCTTGTTGTGAATCCATTGATGAACCTATAATTTATATTGACAAATAATAAAGAATATTTGATAATAAATAATATATTGACAAATAACAAATAATATTTTGATATTTTAGGACCTGGAGGAGAGAGAACGTTTTCTTGGAGTCACACATGGACGAACAGAAGCAACGTTGCAAACATTACAGAGGGACAATCGATACCAAGAAGAGAAAGTGAAAGAGTTAGAAAAGAAGGTAAGTTGATCACTATGAAATGTAACCAAAAACGGCCGTTGATATAATATATTGTTTGAGCATGAATAAGAAATATATTTAGTAATATCTTAACGATAATAAAACTAAATACAGTGATATTTCGCTGAATATGTACCTCCCTTGAGCGGACAATTTTCAAAATTCGAGGCGAAAACTGCTCTCTCAGAAGCTCTATAGTTGGACATATCTCTTGAGCGGATATTTTTTTCGGCCCCGAAAGTTTCGAGCGTAGAGCGTTTTCACTGTAGTTTTCTTCTATACTACCATAGCAACGAGTAGTTACGTGCTTTTTATTTAGATACGAAATTTGGAGTTGGAATGTAACTCTGAAGAATCCATGAAGGAGGCTCATCGAAAAGCATTTCATGATTTGATTCGGCGATTGTCTTCAGCTCTGGGTTTAGAATATTCCGAAGCCATGGTTTCGTCTCCAGAGAGTTTGATACACAAGACAACAGAATTAGTACAGGTATGAAATTAGACTATTTTTATTCGAAAACGTGAATTAATTTTGGAAAGATAAATCTTGTACGAATTTTATCAATTAGGAGACTAGTCGACTACGTTCGCATTCCACAAATATCGCGGATACACTTACGAGTGTTGAAGCTGAATTGCGAAGTTGCCGAGACGCTTTGGAACGGGCTGTGGCAGATCGCGATTCTCTACAAAGACAAGCGGCATCTCATCTTTTGGAATTGGATCGATACAGACAGGTAGAATTATGGCTAATAATTATGATGATAGAGACAATTTTTTTATTATTATGATTATAATATTTCTACGTCAATATATTCGGCTATACATTTTTTAGGAGAAAGAATCATTGGAAATGCAACAGAGAGTTGCTGAAAGAGAGTTGACAGAGTATAGAAACAAGTTATCACTCGCCAATCGAAGTTTAGGATCCGCCACTGGTAGTGTTGCAGCACAGGAGGCAACAATCTGTCAACTTCGAGGTAAGTTTATCACTACTTCTTAACAATACTTAAATATTGGAAACATAGCATCCTTTCCTTAAAGAGTGCCAAAGAGTTCCTTGAATTGAGACAATATCAACAATATTTATTTTCCAGATGATCTCAAATTAAAAGAGGATAAGAACCAGCGTCTCCAGAATGAATTGAGACATCTTCTAGAATCATTGGCGATACTTCTTAGTTCCCCAGGAAAATACGTAGAATCTCAAGAAGACAGCATAAAAAACAGAATACGAGAACTACTGCAGGATAATAAAGAAAAATCGACGGTAAGAATTTGCTAAAAAACTCCATTACGTTCGTACTAATTAATGCAGACAAACAATATTTGTTTTTCAGAGAGAAAATTACGTAAGCATCTAACATACGGTTTTCGGAACTTTTTCCCTTGGTTCTAAATATGTTTAAGGTGATTTGATTGCAAAGCTTCAATAGACCTTACACATATTGCATTATCATCTATTTAGATTTATGTCTTCCGTAGCTTATTGATAGCAACTTCGATTTCTAATTGTCTTGTTTTCGACAACAGAGAAAAGAAAAATTATTTTCAGTATAGTATCTTAATCGTAAATGTATTATTTATTTTTATTTATTTAATAGGTAATTATTACAGACAAAATTAGTTAACTTGATCCTATGTGGCTAGGCCGAAGGCCTTTAAGCCATTACAATACCTACATCCTTTCGCGTTCTAATCTTTCGAATTCTGGTATTCACCCCAAATATCGTAATAATCGTAAATGTAACTGGGATACTACTTATATTAAAAAGGGACAAAAATTAAATCATTAAGGCCAAGTGATTTAAAGATCTAATCCGGTGTAGGCTCATAGAAGGATCAAATATGATAACTTTTGGCCGATGAACATATACTGGGGAATTGTATATAACGGTGTTATATACATAAGGCATTTGCCTCTGATTTTTCGGCAATACCTAAAGAACAAATGTTTGGCAGGTCACGTTCTGTCGCAGTCTCGGGATTTCATGCACCGAAAATCTATGCCTAAGGGGTTGCCCAAAAACCAGAGGCAAATAACAAAAGTAAAATGCACATAGCTCCGTTATGTGCAATTTCCAGTATATGTCCATTGGCAAACAGTTTAATTTTTTACCCCTCTTCGTGCCTAATTCATAAAAAAGTCGCCAAAACATTGTATGTGACGTATATGGAGGAAGAGTGTAATCTGCGTGCGTTTTCTTGAGCGAACTATGTATTCAATTTTATAGAATTACTTCGAGAATAACAACATTCCTCAGTCCTACTCTTCCCACTATTAGCAAAAACAGGGCTGAACAAAACTTCCATGTAGTGAAGCTCCAAGCAAGGTAGAAGTATAGTGTCCACTTGATTTTTATTTATGCTGAATACAAACATTTTTTTAAAAATATTGACTTATAGTTAACATTTATAGCATTAACAATTAATTGAATGACTTTTGTTAGTAAATAAAATTAGTATAAGCCATATTTTTTAATATGTATCATTTGCTTTGGAGGGGGTGCTGAATCCCCATGTGTACCCCCACAATAAATAACATTGTGCCAAAGCAACATTCCCATTATGAGTAATTCATATTTTTTTAAACTAGCAAAAATACACAATTTCAAAAATATTTATAGGGGCTCTGAAACGAAATTCTCTCTCTGAAATACTTTCTGAACATGCCACTAACAGATAGAACGTAATATCAAAACAACAACAACAACACATTCTCTAGAGTAATTCTGAAGACAGTTGAGGAGTTATGAACCTGCCAAAACACAGTGATAAGTATGATGAAGGTGGCTTCTTTTAAAGGATGTCAATGACACTGCAACAAAACACAAATGTAATAATTTTAAAGCTAATGACTTTGTATTTGTTCAGTTTTTTTATGTGGAAAACAAAACAAAAAAAAAAAAAGAAATGATATCATAGGAGAAATTATGATAATGTATGTTCTGAGTTTCAAGAGAAGTAGGCTATTTGAAACTATTTGCCAAAATAAAATTTTTAGCCCACTGAGGGAATATTTGATGTTCATGGATCTGAAACTTAGTAATAGTTATGAAACTAACAAAAGCAGATAATTGTGGTTTCTTATGGTGGCAGAATGAACATTTGTTCTTGGAGCTATTTTCTGCAATAGTCCAAAATATAATGAGAATTAATTGTTTGATATTTGCAACTAAAAGTAATATTTTATTTTCAATAAAAATGATTCTAACAATCAACAGAATTTAATAATGGGAAGAGATAGAAAAGACTATAACTTTACTTTTGAGGACCTTAAGAGTATTATGATAAAAACAATTTTTCTTAGTTTCCTTTAAATTGGCACAAAAATGTACTCACAGGTACATGAGGTTGTGTTTAATAGTACAAGGCCATCTTATGAAGACTTTTCTATTTTTTTTTTTTTTGTTTTCTTTCAAAAATGGAAAATGGATTGTATGCCATTCATATGAAGAAAGGATTTGATACTGAATATGTTTCTTATATAAATATATATTTTAAAATTGAAAAATAATTCATGTTCTTCTAAAAAATAATTAAAATATTGAAAGGTACAACAGTCTCCCTTTCTTTAAAAATAATAGTTATTTTATATATTCAGGCTGGAAAGCATGGCCCCTCACACAGAGACCATAATCACCCCTTAGTGATCTCGACTGTCAGGGTTGACTAAACAAATATTGTAAAATAAATGGTAATTAGTACATATATTGTAATAGAACTGTGAAGATAGCAATTGCGATTTGCTGGACAAATTACAGCATGCTGCATGCCACCAAAGAAGCAGCAAATGGATTGCCAGGAAGGAAAAGTTTCCTAATTTGTTTACAGAAATTATGAAAGGAATAAAATAACTCAAAGATGAAATTAAGAACTTAAAGGATGATCTAAAAGAAGAAACTCAAGAAATTAAGAAGAAATCAGAATAGACATTTAGGAGAAAATTGTAGAGACAAACAAAATAATTGAGACAACTGTGAAAACATCATAATATTGAAGAAAATGTAGAAAAACAATAAAACAAAATATACATTTTAGATATAGAATCAAGGGACAAGAGGAATTGAAAAAATGAGAAAATGTCATTGAAGAAACATACTCATAGTACATGCAGATAAGAAAAACAACATAATAATTACAGTTTAAATAGTGTGGAGAAACTGCTAAAGTTGTTGTGCTGTGCAGAATGGTTTTCATATCAGCGGATGCCAAGAATATCAGAGGATTACCACAATGGCAAAGATCCTAGTCATGGAGTAAAAATACCATCAATTAAAGAAAAATTAAAACTCTTTAAAACACAATAAAAGTTGATTTATTACTAGTAGTTCTGCTGCGTCAGTGACATGATCAGAGCACAAAGAGATTTTCAACCAGATATAGAAAGCTAACCTAGAGAAAGCAAGTGGCAAGAAAGTTAAAATAGATCACATCAGATTCCAGATCACTGCCAAAAGGGAAAACTAGATCTGTGGACAATGAAACAATTATAATTAAGAAAATTACCAGAAAATAAAAAAAAATGAGTTGGTCTAAAATTGCATCAATGAACGTGTGAACACTACTAGTGAAGAACAGGAAAGCAGAGTTGCAAGAAACTTTAAGTCTCATAAAATTTAAGATTTTAGGTCTGTGAGAGTGCAGAAGGGGGGGAGAGAAACAGCAATTCAAGAACTGGATGGTGACCTTTTTTGTCATAGAGGTGAAAGAAGAGTTGGCTTTGTTATCAATAGGAACATGTAAACAAATATTCAGGAAATCAAAGAATGTCTGAAAGACTAATTCTCATCAAAATAAATTTCGTAAGGCTGACAGTTACAGTTCAAGATTATAGTCCAACAGAAAGTTGTTCTGAGGAAGACATATGAGTAGGTGTTTGTAAGAAGTATGTAAATCAGGATACATATTTTTTAAAGGCAATTTCAATTGCAAGGTACATTTAATGGAAGACAAAAGAGAAACAGCAGTGGAACATTATGAATATGGGGAAAGGAGTGAAGGGAATTGAAGTGAAAAGAAAAAAAATTGATCATCTTAATAAGATGAGAGTAGGGAATGCTCATCTATCATGTGGTACTTTCCTGCCTTTGTAATGTCAACTCAAAGAACCAAAACTAAACTAATTTCTGTACAATTTCTCCACAAGCTCCCTGTAATGACTTTGTGAGCCACGTGGCTCATGAGCAACATATGACCAATTTATGATCTACATGCTCCCTTCTGCTCCACCTTTCACATTATTTCCCTTTACAGAATCTTCCAAAAGAGTGTATGAGATTCTCCACCATAACACAGTGTGTGTCCCATCCAACAATCATGTCATTGTTTGAGTATGTTCTACTCAGAGAGCACTTTTTCTATCCATCACAGCACCTTTTCATTTGTAAACTCTGGCCGTCCTTGGGAGCAGCCACCAATAGCACTATGGTTTAAAAGCTTTTAATTCTTCTTTCCCATACTACTTCATGTCTCCAAGTCCTTCTGTAAAGGCATACATTTTTAACAAAAGTTTAAATGATTTTTCCCCATAGGTCTACATTGATCCTGGAAGAAGTGAAGGGGTTTTGCCGTCTGTTGAAGACTGTCTTAGCCTGATTACCTAGCATGCTAAGTCTTTTATTCTATGAGCATCTGCATAGTCTTTAATCTATGTGCTATGTTCTATGAATCTTTATTCTTGACATATTCTTCACAAAATCCAGCCTACATCCATCCAAAACTATGTTGGTCACCATGCAATGTTTGCTCACTATTAGAATATTAGTTTTGAAAAATATTACTGGAAATTTAAACATTTTGTTTGGAAGGAAAATTATAGTTGTTTATTTGTTTTTCTTACCAAGATTTTGTTGTCACTTGTTGCAGTGCATAAGTGACTTGAGAGAGAAAGTGTCTTTATTGTCACAACAACTGAATCGACAAACAGAGCTCTATGATCAAGCTAATAATCGCCTCCAATTATTACAAGAAGAAAAGAACCTTCAAGAATCTCGCCTTCATAAAGTGGAAGCTGATCTAAATGCAGCAGAGTTGTCACAAGATGCTTTGCGCAGGGATAAAAATATTGTAAGTATTGTTTTCATTGAGCACTTAGAGTGAAAGATTTAACTATTTTAAGTTAGTATACATGAAAGTGAGTGTGAACTTTTCTTAAATTAATGTTTTAAGAAAACAATTTTTGCAATGTAGAAAAGTTTTCATATAGATTACATATTTTTAAAAATCATTAGTTATAATTAGATACATTTATTATCAGTAATGAATCATTTCATTCTTTACCATTTTGTCAGTTATAAATGAAATAATCAAAATAAACTATTTCTATTCTTGAAAATAAAAAACAAATTTCTTGATTTAACGTGCTTTCAAGAAAAAATACTTTTTATTTTGCATTAATATTTTCTTGTGTGCACATGTACACTAAACTTTATTACTATACAAATTCTTAGTGTGTAATTTTTATTGATTTTGTCTGTAGATATGGAAAAATATTGAATTAATATGTTTGGAAGATTATTTACTACTTTTCTAGCAGCACTTTTGCATAGAACTTTAAAGAAACTTTTTGATTTGATAAATAATTTTTTATCAAATTAAAGTATCCTTTTAGATGTAATAAATTTTAATTAGTTTAGTTTATGTGATACTCAAATTTTATGTGTAGTATATGACATTCCTTGAGAGACTTGGTAGAGCCATGCATGTGGATGAAATATCCAAAGAAGTTGGAATGGATTTACACACTGAAACATTACTGGTTCGAGCTGAGCAACTTGCTAGACTGGAAAGCGACAAGTTAATAGATAAGGTGAGAATTAGTTTTCAATTGGTGCTTTTAACAATTGTAATATACTTGTATGCAGTTGAATATCATAATTATTCTTATGAAATATGTAATACTGAGCCATTTTCTACAATTAAGTTAATTTTGCTAAAAGTGCATTTGTTGTGTGAACATTTGTGATACTCATAGTGAACATTTTTTAATTTTTTCTGAGTCATTAACAATACTGATGACAGGTAGGTACATGTTTATGTAATATTTATCCTTCAAATATATTATATATTTTATTAACAGAAACTTTATAAAATAAATTTGAGGTGTAATTCTTCATATTTTATAAATTTATATCATGTGTAAATAGTAACCCTTCAAATGAAAAAGTCAGTCCTTCAATTTATTTGCCAAATTTTATTTCTTATTTGCATTGTTTTATGAACATATACAGACTATGCAAAGATTTTGTTGTCAAACAGTTTGTTAATTTAAATTAATTTGCTAAATTTTTGATTTTGTTTTCTCATCTTTTTTCAATATTGAATAGTAATAACAAGAAATCTGAGAGAATTACACACAATTTTAAGAATTATGATAGATACGTACATTTTTTATTGAATTGTAAATTTTTTCTCATGAATTCAATAAATACCAACCCTGCACGGTCACATTGACATGTGACACTCAACATTCTTTCCCGACAAAAATGCAAGTTTTTTTTTAAAAAAACACAAATATTTGTCATCTAAATTCAATTGGAAATTCTCCATTGTTGTTGCTTTTATTTATGAGTTCAGTTGCAACCTAATTGTTTTATAGGCGCATTAAAATTAAAGTCGACTAGCACCACACCACAGTCTTTTGTGAGTGCAGTTATATATGCAACATCAAGCATTTTTAGCTAGTGTCTAGTTAGTTTAGTATTCATTAATAATAATAATAATAATAACAACAACAACAACAACAATAATAATAATAATAATAATAATAATAATAATAATAATAATAATAATTTATTTCCAAAAGAATTACATTGACAGTGTGCAAAAACCATCACCATAAAAAGAATAAGAAAGAATACCAATTTTGTTCCACTACATTACATACATTATACATCTTATTTAACCTTTCAGTAAAAATACTGGTCTTATCAGATTTAAATTTAAATATATTTATTACATTTATTTTATCTTATTAAGTACACTTCAATCCCTCTCTAAGTACTAAATGTACTTGTTAGAGAGGGGTGTGTTACATTGTATGTTTGTTTTGTTTTGTTTTTTCTTTTTTTCTTTTTTGTATTACCATTGTTGATTATAGTTCACCCATCATCAGTACTGTTTGCCAGTTACTGTATGAAGCGTGAATTGTTTCTATTGAAATTTAGATTTTTTCCAAGGAAACTCAACTGGCAAAAAGAAATCATAATCATCAAATTATCTAAAATAACAAATAAATTGTAAATAAATAAAAAAAGATGTGAGTTGGCAACAGGCTAAAATGAAAATTAAGTTATATTTAATTACCATTTTGAAAATTTGTAGTGACAAATCAACAAGCAAAGCAAAATAAAATGATTATCTAAATTAACAAATCAAGAAACAAATAGAACTTATATGCCGCATGGCAGCTGACATCAACTTAAGTTGAATTGTCCAATGATAAATAATAAGAAATAATTAGAAATTATATAATAGGACTCAAAAACAAAAATTAGTCCATACAGTGAACAATTAACAAAACTGAATGAGAGTAACAGGAACATCATACATTTTTTACAAATTATCATCTTGTGATAATCCCTGTTTACAATATGAAGATGTAGCTGTACATAATTAACAACATAAAATCTTGCAATGACAAGACTCAACAGGCAAAAAGAAAACAAAATCATCCAATTACTCCCTAAACTAACAAAGGGATTGTAAATAAATGAAACTAGATGTCAGTTGGCAATAGACAAAAATGAGTATTAAGATATACTTAATTAGCATGTTGAAGACTTGTAGTGACAAATGAAATCAACAAATAATAGGACACACAAGCAAAGTGTAGTCTATACAGTGACCAATTAACAATTGAGTTGA